GTTTGTATTAGTTTTTATCCTTTTAACTGTAATGTTAAATAAAAATATCTCTCTCTCTCTCTCTCTCTCTCTCTCTAACAGGGAGCAAACCCTGTCCTCACTCGCACTGATGATGTTATCTAGTTGCGTAATGAAACGTCTGCAAGGAAACCACCATTGCTCAGGGAGCACCAAGGACTCCATTTATGTCTCTTCCCCACCTGTGTGGCTTAGCAGACTGAGGGCTTCCCACCTCCAGTGGTAGAACCGATGGATGCATGCACGTATTACACCGGTGTTGCGTCAGATTGGTCCCAGATCCTTTGCTTCTGACTCTACACATGTTGGTCTTCACTCCTATAAGTGTATTGCAAATGACCTTGGGTCCAATTCTTTCATTCTGATTTTGTGAACCTTTGCTCATGGCATTAAAGCATCTCATCCTCTGCTTGCCTCAAATGGATCTGAATAAGCGGCCTCCATTTTTACTCATGCGTCTTAATCAGGGTAGGGGGTTTGGAAGTTAGGGGATTGGGGAATAGCAACCCAAAGTCCTCACCTCTCACCTCCAGCTGCACAGGGTCACTTAACCCTGACCACACAAAGGGTTTTCCTCTCAGCTGATAGCGACAACTGTAGTTCCCTGTGTCTTCCAGCCTGACCCCAAAGATGGGAAACTTGGCCAAGGAACTCTCTGGTTTTGTCCTTTGGGATGTTATAAAGTCTGCTGACCGATAGAGGGAGAAGGTCAAGTTGTTCTCTGGCCCCTGGCAGTGGATCCAGACATTCGCATCAAGAATTTGCTGTCCCTTTGGTTCCACATGGATGGAAGGTTTGGAGACGCTGGGATCTGAGAGCCAGGAAATATTAGAGAAAGAGCAAAGGCAGTATAAGCATCAAATTTCGCAAATAAGCATTTAATTTCGTTGTATGAGGTACAATGACAATAAAGTAATTTCAAATGAGAAGCCTTAAAAATGGCAAGAACCTACAATTTCCACCTCTTTCAGATTTATGCAAACCACTAGTAAGATGGAAGTAACTGCTGAGGAATTTCCTGGATAGGAAAATAAAAATAGAGGAATAAAGATCACGAAACAAGCAGCATTCCTGAACTTGAGCAAGGTTTCATGTTCACTGCTTGCTTGAAAATAATTTTGGATTTCCTCTGGAGAACTCTCAACTCCATCCAAACATAATTTCTCAGTCTTTCTCTTCCCCTCAACCCACTCACTCTTTCATAGCTTTGTTTTGCCATTTGTTCATTCTCTCTATATGACCAAACCATCTATTTCTTTCATAACGGTTCCTCACTTTTACAGTCTACATTTTTTCTCCATCCATCCATCCATCCATCCATCCATCCATCCATCCATCCATCTCCATCCATCCATTCATATTCATTCATTCATTCATTCATTCATTCATTCATTCATTCATTCATTGAATTTGTATGGCCACCCATCTCACCTAAGTGACTCTGGGCAGCTCACAACAATTTAAAACAACAATCTAACAAAAACAAGTTAAAAACCAATATTTAATCCATCGATTAGGTACCATCAAGTCGTTTTCAACTCCTAGCAACCACATACATA